CATATGCTTGGCTCACTGGGTCAATACCGACTACGATGCAGTCTGCGTTATGCGTCTTCTTGAGTGCGCGCGAGACGCCTGTGACGGTGCCGCCTGTACCAGCACCAGCGACGAATGCGTCGACTTTCATCGAGGAGGGCCTTGTACGCGTGGATGGGGTCGAGACAACCGAGGCGATGATCTCTGGTCCGGTAGTATATTCATGAGCAAGCGGGTTGTTTATCTGCGTGCACACCAATCAGCAAGTATCCCAGCTCATTCAGAACAACCTACATTCCGATACTGGTCCAATATGATACCATGTTCGATCTCTCGCTGAAGCTTGCATGCCACACCTACGATCGTTAAGGAATTCAGCCACGAGGGAGTTAAATACGCCAGTAGGGTGCTCTACCTATATGGCTCCTGGGTGAATCCCAAGGCTCTTCATCAGGCGTGCGGATAACCTGTGCGCCAAGTGCCCGTAGGAGGGCCTCTTTCTCCTAAAAGCCCCTTTGAACATCAACGAACACCATGCGGTCAGACACAATTCTCACAAGCGACATTTTCTTAGGCATGGTAATCACGACCGAGTATCCCTTATCTGTAGTATTCAGCAACCATCCAGGCACCTGAGGATGACGTGTTCACCTTGATCGCGCACGCCATTGCGAGTCCAATTCCTACATACGCCGATCCATCCGAGTTCGTGAGGACTCGGCAAGTGTGAGTTATCACTTACCGGTATTCCCAGACGTGGGCTCGATAACAACGCTCTTCCCGGGAATAAGTTTACCTTCCTTTTCTGCGGCCAGCACCATCGCTTTTGCAATTCTGTCCTTGACAGAACCGCCCGCAGAAACAAATTCCAATTTGCCCACTAGTGGAAATGGGCGTTAGCTTTGACATCGATACAGGGCTCCGCGCAAAGCGCACGTACGGAGATTACACTTGAGGCCATGTTCTGCAGCGATCTTGTCGAGCCGGATGAGGGGCGTGTTGCCCACGGCGTCGAGAGCGTTGTCTAGTATACGTCTTGGAGTGAATTCCATGATAAGTGGTGGGTGGTGGTGGTGGTGGTGGTGAAAAATAAAGATGGCTCATCAGCCAGACAACGCTCATATCAAGCCATTCCAACTGATCGGACCCGAATCGGCTCGGATCTATTACCAATTTTTGAACGTTCCAGACTCGGAGTAGTAGTACCTTGCGTACCCGACTATGTATACCATACACAGGATGATCCTAACAATTCCGCACTTTGCAATATTGTGTGAACCTAGAATCTTCACCCTGTTCCATCAGATGATCGTCATCCCAAGACCATCCACCTCCCCATCCACGTTGCCAACTCCGTATATATATATATGCTTTCCGTATAAATCCCCAATAGTCGGGTCATCGGACGAGGACGGTTTGAAAATTGAAACATGTAACAGTGAGTTGAATAATTTGATTGAAATATATTATATTATATGCTATTATTATATTTGATGAATGTGACACGTAGTCTTAAGGCCCCCGATGGAGGACGAGAAGAAGCCAGGAAAAGAATGCTCCGGTCTGGTGCGAGTGACTCGAGGTGACTCGGAGTGAGAGCTGAATGTGGCTATCTCAAACATAATGGTAGGGTGAGCACACGTTGGAGGGGGTGGAGTACATATGCCCATCCCGTGAACGTACAGCAATCTCGACGTATCCATATCTCAGGCGGTCCCACGTAGGAATGAAAGTGTCAAAACCGAATATCGGCTCTGATCTTCGGACTACGCACGTTGGATGGCAGTTGAAAGGGATGGTGCAATGGCTGAAACATCGAGGTAGTCACCAAAAGCATACAGTGGTGAGCTCCTGAAATACTGCAGGGAAGTCTGCTAGCAAACAACCTGATTCTGGGCTGATGTCGTTCTCGAACATGATATCAAGAGACCTGAGACTCTGTTCAACAAGGCGTCGTAGTTTGGTCGTTGCACCTTTGGCGTACCCAGGGTGAAATGCGGGCATTCTCGCGATCGCTCGAGCCATGATTTATGGTAGCAAGGTGCTCGCTCCCATTCTCTGTGGTCCGGTCATCACCAAGAGCCTGCACCACAATCTGGCAATGCCCACAACGACGTCCCACCACTGTCAACATACTCTGGCCAACAGCATGGGATATGGCTCTGATATGCAGCTCAGATAACCGTGACAGTCAATTTTCAAATAGTTCGGATAAGATTTCAGCCGCCAAGCATGAGTCAGCCCCTTTGGCAGGTTCATCGACTTGATAATTTCGTCCTCCTGCTAGCCAAGATGTTCCCTATTCATAACGGTGTCCGTGAGGTCTAATTTCTCGTGGAGGACCCCGTCCAACTCCTCATCCAGTAATAACGGTAGTACTCTGGTCTTTGGGTTACATGACGGAGTGGTCAGGATTTGGCAACCTGTAATACGGGCTGTCGAAGTCTGGAATCTGGTCATGGCATCACTAGCACACCGTATATATGAATCTAGAAGCTGGTGTGACTACTCGTGAATGCATGAGCTAAAACAAACAGCAAGTCACAGTATAGGGGAATCTTCGTAAGACTGAGATACTCCGAGTCGGATTCGGAGCATTCTCGGAGGACATTCCGAATCCAAGTATATCTTGAAGTAGGGTTGCATGACATATTCCTCGACGGCCACCTCCAAATCACGTCGCTAATTCTGCGTGAACTTTGAGTGAATCGCCAGTGTTCGGGTGGATGACGACAGTTTGAAACCGACGGATCGGAGCTAACGTGAGACGCTATAAAGAATACGTACTCGCAAGCCAAGAAATCAATGCTTCCGTCTAGTGGGGGATGAATGTATATGGCGGTGGGGGGAGGACCTTCGAGAACAAGAGTGATGCCACGCTGTGCTGCATCTATAACACCTCATGTGGCAAGATCTACGCAATTTGCGATGAACGTGATAATCGAAATGTCGGAATTGCGTGAGGGCGTTGAATGCACTTCCACTTATAATTAGCATGCCGCGCCGAAATCCAGTTCCTGTGAAGAACTTGACCCTTGTAGACATATAATTAGGACCCAACTCAAACCGAAAAGTCAGCTCCGAAGCAAAAATTTGTAGGCCACGAGGACTATGTTTGGGCTTTTGTCTTCTTGCATGACAATATCCACATCGTGAGTGGCTCGTGGGACGGCACGATGCGCAAGTGGGACTGCGACACGGGACTTCTTGTCGGACAACCATGGACAGGCAAGGGAGGTTGCATACATGCATTAGCACTTTCACCGGATGGAAAGACAGTTGCGTGTGGAAGGATGGACGGAAGCGTTCAGCGGTGGAACACCGACAGTGGAAAGATGATCGAAGACGTTTGTACGGCCGGGTCATAGCCGGGAAGTAAGGTCACTAGAGTACTGTCGTGGTCACCCAACGGAGACCATATTGCAAGTGGGTCCAGAGATGGGACAATCCTAATCCGAAAACTAGACAGCGGACAAAGCGAGATGGGCCCGATCAAGACGGGGCAGCGTTGGGTGAATGTTCTTGTTTATTCACCTTCAGGCGACAAAATCGCATCAGGCGGGTTGAATGAGACGATCTGCATTTGGGATACAAAAACATGCGAGCTCGTTATCGGCCCCATCGAAGAGCTGGGAGCCAGTGTCACGTCATTGTTGTGGTCGTCGGAAAGCAAAAAAAGTTTACGCCGCTTCAGACAAATTTGTGCGTGTTTTCTCGATAGTAACTCGCTTCGAGCACAACGATTTGGTGAATTCTATCGCGCTTCCACCCAAACACAATGTACTGGCCTGCGTGGGCCAGCCAGGTGCTGCACAACTATGGGACACAGAGTCCTATGAACCATTACTCCGTCAGCCATTCATTGACCGCCAGACTCTTCGCTGCATATCATTCTCTCGAGATGGGATATACCTAGCAAGTAGCGGACTTGACAAGAAACTCACCCTGTGGGTGGTAAAAGACATGGTCCCTGAGCTTACAGTACGTGTTTGCACGCCCATACTGCAAGTCAACAAGCTATACAGTAGGAAACTCACCCCCAGTCACCAACACCATCTTGCCTCGATGTCAGTACTCTCTCATCGGACCACCGTCCTTCCATTACTCACGGAACTAACACAGGTCGATATTACAAATCCTCAATCAAGGAGCGATGTGTTCACCGACGACGAGTCGGATACTTCATACGGTGATTGGTAAACCTTGTGTTTTGTCGTGCAATGTGCATACTGGAACACTAGTATTGATGATGAACAGACTGACCAGCACTATCATCCTTCAGCACCATCTTCAGGACCCTATCGTCATTCCCGGAATCACAACCTATCCCCCACTCAGCGCTTCTGGAATACTATTACTGTCCCTTCTCGACGCCACTTACCAGCAAATGAGTCCACCGCGCTGCAACCACGTCCCAAGCACAATCTCTTTGCACAATACACTGGCCCGCAGCCCGTGGCAGTCGCAGCTGGAGGAAAAAAAGTGTAAGCACTGTATCAGGTGTCCCTCGTTCTGCTACATACATTACCGAATCTCCAGAGGATCTACGTAGGGCGTCCGCCTGTGAAGACTAGGACTCAAACTGGTCAGTCATCCTCAACGATAACTCAGCCTACAGCGCAGCCACTTTCGATGTCACGGCCTCAGACTCAGCCTCAGGTGCAGACGACAAAATAACAACCTACTCCAGAAGAAAACTACGGTTGCTGGAGCAATTTTTGCCTCGCATTCTGGTCCATCCGCTGCGCTCGTCCTGTTGTCCCCACTACTGCTCAGCTTGCTGCCTCGTGATATTACTTTACCAAGTATGTTTCGATGTTTCCTATATCTCATTTGTACCGCATCATTCCTGATTGCGTGCTTTATCGATCTAATTGCTTGTAAGGGTCTATATCATTCTTTCTCTGTGTACATCAGTTTTCCTGCTGTTTCTCGCATGCGTGTCTGACATCTGTTGACGTTCGTTTTATTACAAACAATATCAAGTGAATGCTCTCCGTTTCGAGGTACCTGACAGGGCGCTTGTCATTTCACTTTGACATACTTGTCTGACTTAAACGCGCACGACAAATGCGGAGTAGCGCAGAGGATTGCCTTCGGCTCCAGGCCGCCATTAATTCATTAACCATTCCTGCAAAGATCTTTTTTCGATAAATAACTTGGTATTATAATTCAGTAGCAGTAGGGTAACGCATTCTACGCTTTTACATCTACACACTCATCTTCATCGCTATCGTTGGGTGAGGATCGTACCCTTCAACCACAATGTCTTCCGAATCGAATCCGTCGATGTCAGTTATCTCCCTTCTGAATTTGACTTTTGGAAATGATTTGGGTTCGCGTTTGAGTTGTATTTCGAGGGCATCAACATGGTCGCGGTAAACATGCGCATCTCCAAGTTGGATGATGAGCTCGTGGGGTTTGGTCCCCGTAACGTGCGCAACCATGTGCGTTAGGAGCGCGTAAGACGCGATGTTGAAAGGGATGCCGAGCCCAAGGTCGGCTGAGCGTTGGTACATGAGACATGATAGGCGTTTAGGAGCATCGGGTGTAACGGGGAGATGCACGTAGAATTGGCACATCATATGACATGGTGGAAGCGCCATGAGCGGCATAGCTGAGGTATGAGATCAGCGCACGTAGGACAGCCAAACTAAAGTAAACTCACCTGCTGGATTCCATGCACTCAGGATTATTCGTCGATCAGTCGGATCATCTCTGATCTTCCGAATGCACTCCTTCAGCTGATCGACGCCCTGATCGGTGTAGTCTGTATCACAATCAACATAGTTTGCGCCAAAATGTCTCCATTGAAACCCATACACGGGGCCAAGATCACCCTCCCGTCTGTGTCCCAAACCGCGCTTCTCGAGAAATTCTTTGCTTCCGTTTCCGTCCCATATTTTGATGCCCTTCTGCGAGAGCACTCGGGCGTCCGTGCTGCCTCGGATAAACCAGAGAAGTTCTTCTACTATGGCGCGTAGGAATGTGCGTTTTGTTGTGAGGAGCGGGAGCGTGTCATCTGCGAGAGAGAAACGGAAAGAGGGGGGTGCAAAGATAGATAGGGTGCCTGTACCAGTGCGATCTGGCCGAACTTCGCCTATGTCTATGACACGGCGGACGAGGGAGAGATATTGATGCTCCTCATGTGGCGTCATGGGCTCTGTGCTGCCCATTGTCGAGTATGCCAGTGAGCGATAGGCAACACGCGTGTAGTTGGCAAGACGCGTCTGATTGCCTTCCAAGAGTGCTTAGTAATTTGAAATACGTCCACGTACGTTTGATCACATGTTCGTTATGTTCTTACTTACCTGTTTCAAAATTTCATAGCCCACGGGCGCCGCCATTATATTGCAGATGTTTTCCGACTTTGGCCCACTCTGGTATTCTTCCACCATCAGGAAAGAGAGACCAATGAAAGCACAGGCAGGAGAATTCGACCACCAGGACACTCGTCATTTCAAGCATCATGTATGTCTGTGCGATGATTATTAGTTTAGCAAGGTATTTAGAGAATTTATGAATTACATCACTCGTCTTTGCCGATTTCGACTCAGCTGCAGCAAGAAGCACTAGTAGATTCCACCAGAAGTACTGCTGCGGTGATTTTCAAATCATAAATTAAAGTTCAAGTGGTACATTAATGTGCATATGGGGCCCATCTATGAGAGTGTAGACCTCCTCACATGATCATGATAAGCCTACTCGGTACTTGGTGTCTTGAAATACATGACCCGGGAAAACCAGCAGCTTGTAAGAGGTCGTAATAGCTTCGAACTCTGATATTTATTTCACAGATTTGAAGGTGGATTGAATTTGCAGGCCGCAGAATAGGGAACAACTGCAGACCCGGCCAAGAAACTGAGCTGCAGCGGTACGGATATATCACCAAACGTCGCAGTAAGCCATGATATATATCTAGTGTACATGAACAAGCAGTGCCTTTCTGCTGGAAGACTGATGATACAGAGGACGGAGGATCTTCGTAGAGGATGCTCTAATTTTCGTCAACTTGGACGAGTAGAGAGAAGACCTTCCTCATACAATGGCCATGTCCTTCCAATCCACGTCGCCAGCTCTGTGTGATCTCTGAGTGCATCACCAGTGTTCGGGTGGATGAGAACGCTTTGAAATGCGTAGCTGGGTTAACGAGCTAACGCGAAGCGTTATGAATGTGACACGCACTCGCAAGGCCCCCGATTAACGACAAGCCACGAAAATAATGCTCCCGTCTGGTGGGGACTGAATGTATTTACCTCGAACATAGCGGTAGGGTGGGGACCTTAAAAGAACAAGGGTGAGTACCTCGCTGTGTGACATCGATGGGATAATCATATACGCACCGATTGGTTTATCCCAGAGCCTATATATCCGCAACTATGACATGAAGAATGAATAAACAGCTACTGAATGAGCAAGAGAAAGAACTTGTGTACCTCTGGAAACTCCCTTCTTACACGCTCGTGTAGTTCTTTCGCATATTGCGCATGAGCAGCCACAGCGGGCATGTAATAAACTAGCATCCGTGGTAAAATCGGGGTACCATTAACATGTGAGAGGCTCGCTCACTGTGGAAGTCGAAACCATTCTTAGACGGACTAAATTGTTTCGGGAATTCGTCATAGGCGGCCGAGCGAGGACCAGGTGGGTTGTACAGGGATTTCCCGTCAGGATTGATGGTGGTTGGAAGGGGTTCTGCACCTTCATACCCTGCTAGAAGAGATGGCCACTGACTCATGTTTACTGTAGTATAGGGGTTATCGATGTTGTTATTGTTAGGAGGAACGACGATGACAACAAGACTAGAGTCAACGCGGGAGGCCTTATAAGATTGGAACAAGCGGGTGGAGTCCGATACAGACGGTGTGCGTGGTGTGGAGGATGAGTAAGCATTTGTCACCAACTGGTATGATCACTCAGCAAAGAAGTGGGGGATGGCAGTTTGAGGCCTGACTCGGAGGCCTAGGCCTGAGCGCTGAGCTAACAGCCCGCTACTCCTTCTACCTCGAGCAGCGACTGTCAGGTATTGTTGTAATAGCATGCTCCAATTGATCAAGAATCATGATTGAAGTTCTCCATACGAGTATTGAATATTGATGCATGAAGGAACTTGGTAAAAGAACATGATGATCATATGATGCCGTTCCATTGCCGTGTGTCGGTGAAGAAGCAGTTGAAGTTGACAACATGAGAGAATCCGTTCATAAGACTTCAAACATATGGCACTTGTATACATTGAAGCCGTATTGCAGATAGTCGCCCAGTTTGTTGTATCCCCACTCACATAGTCGGACACATATGTGCTGTGCGGCAGATCTGTGGAAACGTCGCTGAACAAGCTACCTGCTCAAGCGTCCGCAGCGCCGAAAAATACAGAGCAGAGATGAGCCATGCGAAAGCTTGAAGGTTGTAACGAGGGCGGAATCGATTAATCAAGGTCGGTACCCGGGAAAAGGTGTGTCAACGTTATCACCCACGACCATGAAGTCTAAATTGTACTATCAAATCTCAACGGCAGGCTGGCACAGCGGAAACTACCTGTTCGCACGGCAGCAGATATTTCTCTATGACATACAACTAGGCATATTAATCTGTCCTGAGGAATGTTCTAAAGGACGAAACCGCAATTCCATATGTTTTCCTGCTGTGGTGCTTGTTGACGATCATCCATCATCCATCATACATCATACATATCCACGACACCCTTGGCCTAGTTTTCGACCGGGAAGATATTCGACGAAGCTGCACATAGGTCGAGTTCTGTTGTAAACTTCGACTGGAATAATACTCTCGACGACAAGGCTCATGTTATCACTGGCTCACAAAACAGCCGCTGTTAGCATCTTCGACCAAGTATCCAGAAATTTGGCTAGCATAGGTTGCATACCCTTGTCAGAGTACCTATATGGTTCTTCATCTATCCCAGCAGCACCACTACAACAGGAAACCCTATCTACCGTTCTCCAGAATGTTCCCATTCAACACCCACAACCCTCAACACCGGCCATAACCAAGACGTCAGTTGACACCGTCTCAGCAAACGCTATCAGCCGTTTACATCAAACATCTCAACGCACGTTCGGATCCATCGAGCCACTTAAGTTTGAATTCATCGAGGAAGCCGGCCAGCGCAGTGCGTATCCACTCTTACATCAAATCATCATCCTCATAATAACTCCACAGGCAAGAAATGCATATTGACAATATCTCGTCCAAACGGAAGCACTCGTTCTTATGCAACCGATCCCGTCTATTCTCGCAAATCCGATGCAAAATCTGCTGCGGCCACTCTCGCGATCGAAATGGGTGCACTGGATTTCATCACTCACGGAGATCCTGAGGAACTCAAACTTAAACGCGGACTTGTCCTCGCCTCCATCAATAGCTCACAAAACCAGGAGCGTACACAAGCAGAGTTCGGATCTACTGCTGAGCATCTAGACGGCAATAATGCGATTGAGCAAATCGAGACCTGTTGCGCAGAATGGCGGGGTGGTTCCATTGCACCACATTGGGTAGCATTGCTAGAGCCCAAAGTCGGTCACAGTAAGTATCAAAATGTAGGATGTCCGGACCCTGTTGAACTAAGGTCACCGCAGCTCAAGGTTGTGCCCTCAGAATCGAACTTTCACCACACGTAATCAAGGTCTACGCATCCGATACCATCTACAACACGTATAACGAAGCAAAGGGCGCGTGTGCTGAAGCCGCACTTCGCGAAGGCGTTCTCGACTTTATCAAGCACGGAAACGGCCAACTACGCCCTGCATCCCCCCAACTATACTCAGCCCCCAGTTCCTCCGACATAAATGGTGTCTCAGCCAACAAACAACCTCCATCGACTCTCCAGGCATTCTACGAATCCCTCCCCCGTCCATTTCCTGAATCTTTCGAAAGCAAAGACGTCAACGAGCTCGGTGCGCCTGGATATATGAACACCCTCGTACAAAATGCAAGAGGCGGAAAGTTGACCACCACATTCATTTTCACATCAGACGGAACTCCAGGACGTACGTAGTCTCTATTATCATAAAACACTCGCGCTCACGATCGATACTGATTTATTCTATCTAGTGCACGGTTGTTTCCTCCGCTTAGACAGACCCACAGAATATAGAGCATACCTCGTCGATCCCAGGTTCCCAAAACGCGCAGATGCAAAAGCAGCCGTATGCCTCCAGGCGCTGTCTCAGGGCGCTGGAGATTACATGCGCGCGATAGGAAAGGCTGTCGAGGAGAGAGTCACGCCTTTGATGAAAACATGGGTGAACGATCAAGTATACCCTGCCCTCTTATCCGAGTATAATAAACTCAGGGGTCGGCATCCTAATTTTACTTATGAGAAGGAGAAAGATGGTCCGTTCTTGTTTTCTTATCATGTCACCTCGCATGCTCATTGCGTATTAGCCTTTGGATGCACGATGACGCTCCAGCTCTCTGCCGATCCTATGCCTGACCAAACACGAATCTGGACAGTATCGAATAACTACCGCAACAAGGCAGATGCCAAGGTAGCTGTCATTTGCATCGCAATCGAACAAGGTGTGATGGAGTTCCTCCGGTTTCGAGGCGAGCCTCCTCCTCCTGGCTATACCACCCCATATTCTCTGCAGACCTTTGACCCTGGATCGTCTCAGAAATCCAACGGGAAACGAAAGATGGTCGAGGATGCGCACTCGCAGGGTGAACATGAAAAGCCTACAAAACGACAAAAGAAAGCAAAGCTTGAGAGCGCTGCAACCAAACACGGTAACAAGAAAGCGAAAGGCAGCACCCTCATCCATAGCATTCCCGAGTCTGGCACCATCCGTGCAGGACAACCTTCTCGAAAGGGGTACGCTTCTGCACCATATCGGCCAGGACTTGGGGATGAGAGTGGTTCTGGGACTGCGTACCGTCTGCCGCAGGTGTTCTTGAATCCTATTCCACCTAATAGGCCTGATCAGCGGTTCATGCCTCTTCGCGCGCATTCTTCTGTGCAAGGTGATTATGGGTATCCGTTTTCGGCACAGTCTTTCGCTGGAGCTTCGGGCACTAGTTCTGGAGGTGGTGCGGGTGCGGAGCGGTTAGGTGATTCATCTGAGCCAGAACCTGGGGAGGTTGTATGATTTTGTTGAATCGAGTACTGTTTGAGATGGTTCATAGTGCTGCATCGCGAGGGTTATAATTACATGGATCCCACGTCACCTAGATATTCTCCTTGTTCTCGAGGGAAGCTCTGTCCTTCCGGAGTTATCCTTGTTCAACGTTGCAACATCAATAGGTGGTGATCCGAGACTGTTGAAAGGGAATTTGACAGCTGCACTAGAACCACCTGCTATATTCACTGGTCGCCGCATCGCACTGTATAAGAAGGATTTTTTTTATAAAAAAAATTCAATTATTGTCCAGTTGGGGTACAGTACCATATGTAGGACATTAATATCTAGGAAAAGGGACACCTGTGTCCCCGCCGCGTCTCCTACTTTCCAAATGCCCTGATGAAGGGTGACCTCCATCAGTCCGCCGTTCCCGCCGGCCGTTTTAGATGCACAAGTCTGCTACTCCACGGGTCCGTGCTGATACTGTTCGTGTGTGTATGTGAATCTATCGTGTGTTAGGGATTATACAAGTACTCGGATCGCCGAAGCGATCTTTGCACGAAGGAGTTAAATGAATTGCGGAAAGAAAATGAGTGGCGGGTTGGGTCCAGCACGACGGGCTGCTAGTGGAACCTTCTTCGCCATGTATCTCTACATCGAAAGTTCTCTGTCCCTGGCCGTCCCTTACGTCTCTTTTCGTCTTATCTCCAGATGGGCTTTGGAGCCGCGCCCTTTCCTTGCGTTGGCGAGTGAGAATAGAAAAGCGCGATGGCGCTGCTGACGAATGTGCGTTTGACGTTCTGTACACTGATCACGGTTATAATCTAATTTTAGGCTGAAGAGGGAGGGACATCACTGAACGTAGGTTTCAACCTCCCGGTGCTATTTACGAATCGAATAAGGTGCGCTGTGGCTTTAACGTCGGTGAGCAGGTACTTGATAGAGGATGCCCGTCTTCTCAGGACGGATGTGAGGGTGTGACCTTCCCGCGCGTATTGAGGGCATCGGAGGAGGAAGCGTTGTACAGTCTCGGGAGTATCTTCACAATGAGGACAGTTGGGGGATGCGCTTTTGCCAATGCGATGCAGGTGCTGATTAAGTGAAATATGACGGGTGCGGAGCCACAGCATGAGGCTGATGTGCCGTTTCGGGAGATGTTGAACAAGGGATATGAACGATTTGCTTGCGGCAGTGAGATCAGCCAGGTATTTTAGGGCCTTACAAGAATTCCATCTCGGGAGCACCGATTAAAGTGGTCCTAGGAAAACTACGCCCCAAGCAACCCGACCCGACGTACGTAATATTAACAGGCGTTGCAATATCTTATAAAATAAGACCTCCGGGGCCTGTATCTCATCTTTGGTTTCCAGCCCCAGGACGAAGAGGAGGTATCTACCAATTCAGCTCCGACCCCCAGCGCTCACCACGACCCCTGTCGTGCAAGAAGCACTTCAGGTAGCAGGCCGTCTCGTAGTTACCATGGAGAACGACCGACACGGCAGGTTCTGGGCAGTCTTCACAAACCCGTGGGACACCTGAGTCCCTAGCCCACCTGGCAAAGTGGGGCGCAGTATGGCTCTGTGGCGCTTCTAGTTGCGACACGTCATTGCCAGAAGGGACTGCTTGGTCCGCTTGGGTAAGCGAAGCTGCTAGGGCTTCGGCCAAATCAGCCTGAAACCTCTCATCTTTGACATCCCCCGACGGAGCAGTTACCGGGGGTTCCTGTGATGAGTTCTGAGTTGCGGAAGGAGGTGGTACTCCCGCCGACTTCTTGCAAGTATGCTTCTTGAGCTGCTTGCGAGACCTGAACTCGACCTTGCACTTGGGGCAGGCTAGTGGATCCACACTCGGATTGTGTTGTACCGCAACCGCCACATGTCCACCCTTCGCTAGGATTCGGGTCCTTTCTCGCTTCGCTGCTCTAGCGCGTTTACGAGCAAGCCTTTTCTTTTCGTGATTCGCACGGTTGTAAGCCGTGGCTCCTTTCTCAAGGGAGAAGAAGGCATTATCGCCCTCCGAGTTCACTACTTCGAGCAGGTACACAAATAAAACTTTCTTGGTCTTATCGACCAAGTGGGGATGGTAAGAATCCCCAAAAAACACTGCGAACGCAGTCTTAACCATCATGGAATGGAAACCTGGTCGAAAAGTCAACCAAGCGACACGTCCGTCTTCCGACTTAGTCGCAACCATAGTGTGTCCGACAATGTCAGACTTGGCAACGAACAGACGCCGCCTAAAGACATTAAGAATGTCGAAGACCGAGGGATCTTCAGCGAGTCCGGAGCCAACACCAGGTGCGATCTCAGTAACAGGGCCTTTTTGTCTGGGACTACCACGCGACAAACTGTGAGCGACTGAAGTCACTGTCCCTTCAGAGGTTGAAACAAGAGGAATTGCTGTCGTCATAGCAGCAATTTAAAGTCAAGAGGAAGGAAAAACGAAAGCAAAATGAAGAAGGAGGATATTAAGATTTGGCTGCCACTACTGCCGGTCTTCCTTCTATATCAGGCGAGACTACTAACTTACCTCTTCTCCATTCCTGCGCGATAAGACTCCCACATTATTCCTGCTACAGCAATAGTGGGTTTTGTTACCGCTGCCACATTGAAAGCTTGACCCCATAATATTTTCCCATAGAGCGACCAGCTGCTACAAAGGAATATTATTAGTATTCGTGCCTGTCTGTTTCTTTAGTATCATGGAGACATGTTGTCAAGAACACTCATAACAGCCGCAGCACATGCTTCAACTCTCCACATCCAACTTTCCACGTCCATCATATCCCTAACCTCCCCCTTCACCCGCGCCTCTTTACGCACACTCCAAAACGCCATTATTGCGCATGCAACAACGTCCAAGACTCCAGTGACCCCAGGAGAAGTCAACGCAGCGGTCCTTGTTCCGTTGTGTAACGTCGATGGTGTACCCGGCGTGCTACTCGAACTGCGAGGCGGTAAACTGAGGTCCCATGCTGGCGAAGTCAGGTATATTCAACCCCCAAAATGTCAAGTATCTCGGTGCTCATGATCACTAGTTTCCCTGGTGGAAGGGTCGACCCAGTGAGTTTATTCAGAACCTCTGTGTACTTCCTCATCATACCTGTAGGCAGATGCATCGTTTCTTGCTGCTGCGCTCAGAGAAACACAAGAAGAAGTAGGTCTAGATCATCGGCAGATCGATATTCTCGGCCAATTTGGCCCGCCTGAGCAAAGTCTCATGGGTCTCAGAGTATGGCCCTACGTCGTACGTTTATTCTACTCACCAGTTTTGTTTTGACTTGAATTCGGTGCGCAGGGCTTCGTATACCCACGTGGCAGTCATCACACAGATACCGGATCGCTAGATGATCCCTTACCCTCCATCTCGCTTTCCTCACTCACCATATCTCAGGCCGAGGTGGCGACCGTCTTCCATCTTCCCCTTTCCGCATTTACATCCCCTGCCCGTATCAGGCCTGACATGTTCCGCGCTGCCAGCCCATATTGGGCCATTGATGTCTCTGACCTTGTGGAGGGGTTCGAGGGGGTAAACGATCCATCGGGACACTCGGGAGTGAGTGGTGGGAAGGAGGGACGTTTAGAAGTTTGGGGTTTGACAGGTTGGTACATGTCATTGCTCATGCGAATTTTAAAGGTATACACCTAAATAAAAGATTAACATGTAGTAATGTCATTCTTCGTATCAGCGCCGGTAGAACTCCTAACGTTGAGGGACAGGCCACGAGGCAAATATGTTCACATGGCTTGGAGCTCCACGGTTGAGAGGGGTCACAGCGGTTGAGTTGCCACGCGTAAAGGTGTTGACCATCGACAGGAGTCCTTTAGTACATGAGCCTGCTCCTTGTTGGGTCCCCGGGAGGTGGCAAGGTGCCAGATGTGTGTATTATATGTCATGGACTAGGTCATCATGAATAGCGGCGTCGATACAACAAGATAAAACAAGATATGTACGATATCAGAATGCATGACAGATTGAGATAACAAGGATCATCTTCGTGCCCTTAATAGTCAACATCCTGCTGAATGAGCGCAATAGCTTTTGCAGAGCGAGGCTTAATAGAGCACTTGAATGGTTTCGGATGACTGGGAGTACATCTATTCAAACTGGTACCGCGAATATGATAGGATACACGACATACCTGATCGCGCCTGATGAGGAGTCGACCTCGGGGGTGTGCTCGACACCGTTCTCGACAATCTTGGAAATATCAAACACGGCGAGCGACATCACAGTAGATAACCAGATGGAAGCATCAGCGAGGTGGAGGCCTGTACATCAAAAGCAAGCAAATATCACAATACTGTTTTATTGAGGGAACTTCTGCATACCGGGACAGATCCTGCGGAGCAGAAAATTAGCATTCCACTCCAAATTAACTCTATGCGTACCGTCTACCAAAGCCGAAGCAGATCGTGCGAGGTTCACGTTCGGGATCCTTTCCGTCATTGTCTAGGAAGCGTTCAGGGTTGAATTCCGAAGGGTTAGCATATGTCCGCGGGTCATTGAGCATGAACCTAGCATGCAATTCTATCATGTTGAATCCAGAGAAATGCGAGCACCAACCAGATGTTAGGCATGATCAAGGATCCTTTCGGAATGTAGTACCCGTCATAGATATCGTCCTCAGAGACACAGTGGGGGATCCCTGTCTTTAGGCGATTGATACCGCTCGGAAATAAAAAGAATACAATAAACACATACCTGTAGGGATGACAACATTCCAGCGCAGGGATTCTTTCACAAGGGCCTCGATATAGGGGAGGGAGTCGCGGTCTGCCAAAGAGGGAAGACGATCAGTGCCAACAACAGCATCTATTTCAGCCTGAGCCTTCTTCTGCACATCAGGGAACAGTGTCATCGCCAGGAAAATTGAATAGATTGTAGAAACTGTCTGTGGAGACAGATGTTAGTCTCAAAATATAATAATCTATCTGTAATATGAAGGGAGGAGCTAACCGTGTCGGCACCACCGGCGTATAGGGATAGAGCAGACCATTTCACCATGTGATCCTCTTCCGCAGACAAAGTTCGGCCTTTCAACAGATTCGAGGTGAAAGACACACGGGCAACTCCGGCAGCCTGTGATGTGTTCAACCCGTGATCGCCGAACTGTAGATGTTGCTTACTATCTGATCCTTGACGAATTTGTGTGGTGCAGCAACCAACTCTTCGAGGGTCTGGTTCCATTCACGGGCCAAGCATTTGAATCCAGCACCGGGAAACCACTCGGGAACCTTGGCCACTAGAAATAAGTCAGCTCATTGTAAATATTAGAATACTGTAGTCTTACACCATGGCATGATGTCAACCATGAAGGCACCAGTATCGGTGGACCGCGATAATTGATTCATAGCGCGGTCTGCAAGGTCGACGAAGGGATCATTATTCTCCTTAACCTCATATCCATGAGAGATTTGCAAAATGATAGCGCCAGCAGTGCTATAAAAATCAAGGCCCCATTCATGCAATGATAAACACCACATACTGTCGAATATGTGCTTGCAGTTGCTCAGGTTTTGCAAACACACGCTTCAGGAACCGGCGGGTCTCAATCTCCTCAATCGGTTCGTAGACAGCCATAGCAGCACGACTGCCAATGATGCGGTGGATGTTCTTGCGGTAATAGCGAAAACGATCACCATAAGAGAGAAAACCCAAAGCGTACTTCCAGCCAACAAGTTCGCCACCCATTGTAAGAACCGGACGGTCAGAGTAGACAGAGCTTTTCTTGTCTAGCAATGCCATCGCTGCCTCGACAGAATTCAGTACAATGATGTGCCGACCCAGAACTTCGACATGCGAGATGTCACCTGCACGGCATGGAATTGAAATATATTGTGTTGGGAAACATGAGGCACTCACCATATTTTTTGCGCCACTTGGCAAAGGTGAGCCAGGCCTTGTTGTGGGGCATGTCTGCGACGTTCCCAATGAGAGGCCACCCCGGAGGTCCAGGGGGATATGGTGCAAGGTTCTTCTTTCCGAATGCCTGCTTGACCAGATACACTCCGGCACCAGCAAGACATAGTAGGTCCAGCCAAGTAACATTGGTGAATATCAGCATGCTAGCTGAGGAAGAGCAAAAGATCGTGCAGTGAGCGATGAAGAGCAGTCCGACGAATACAATTCACGCTCTCCACCCTAGAAAATGAGGGAACGATACAAAGTTCAAGAAGGTGGACAAATTTAGTTGTTTGGCAGCGTGATTGATGGCCGGTCAAAGATGTTGTGGCGGCCCTGGAATCTTTATGTTATCGCAGGCGGAATTTAGTGAGGAAAGATACGATGTACTAATCGTAGGCTGCGACTAATAGCGTTAATAACAAGACACGACTCGGAGGGTCCAAACCGATGGGAGGATGGAATTATATTAGAAGTTGACGTAAGTAGTCAACTAGTCAAGACTAGGTAGTACTGTGACACTGAAAGCTTGTGTTTCAGTCTCGCGGACAGTATTTGTGTAGATTATAGGAACTCCCAGTGTGCTTACAGAGGAATAGATGTGGACCTGGATGCCTCACTGCGTGCCTTAGCCTCTCAAATGAGCGACAACAACAAGAAACGAAGACCGCGTGTGAAATACTGCACTCAGGACGAGAAGTTGTGCGCAAGCTGTTTGGGAAGTAGTTGAGGGTGACCACAATGGCGCCGCGAGCCATATTTGCGCAAAGCCTTGAACGGAAGAGGAGCGTAATACGGGCAGGAGGCGCCAGGTACGCAGATCAGCGTTAGGTAGACCTAGGCTCGTGACCAGCCTGGCATATAGTACTCTGGATACAATTCTCCCTTCAATAAAACTGTGACGTGACTGAGGCTAGCCGCATCTACAGTGACAAGGACTTGTATAGCTAGATATTTTCAACTCCGACATATGTGTAGAGCATACAATATCGGTGGCTCACCGTTTTACTGATGGCGGCCCACTACATGATATATAGCGTACAATCGACATCGTAAAACACCAATCCACCAAACAAAGTAATTACGATCAAGGCGCTCAGGACGTATACCATCAATAAATCCCAGGAATCAATTTATATTTCACTTTCTTAGCCCAATTCTCCCAATCCTCTCCCAGAGCACGCTGCAGCATCTTGTCCTCCACTGAAGATCGGTTGATGCCGATCGGAATGCATGCCGTAAAAACGAGGAAGACAATCGCTACTGATACTTTCATGTAAGGCAGTTGTAGAATTCCAGACTGCCTCATCCACGACCATTCGCTCCCGTGCGTAATGACAATCCCGACGTATTGTGCAAGGTAGCTAGTGTAGCTTGGGTGGCGGACGATAGAGTAGGGCCCGCTTGTCACGATTCTATGCTCTTTTCTGACGCTAAGCGGGAAGCTCCAGAACTTTCCCAAGGTCAACATACAATAACGCCTGGATATGCCGCCAACCGTGACAGAAAGACTGCCAACAAGGAAAGCGGGAGTGATTGGCGTGGTGTGAAGTGCGCGCAAAAACTGCAGAGCGCTAGCGCCATAGACACCATCTGGAATTTGCGAGGGACCCATATGCATGGCCAGTATGTTAGCCACTTCAATAGATGATGCTGCCCATGCGATAATCTGTTATATTGTCCGCCGATCTGTACAGACAAAAATCGATATACAGGAGAAACATACCTTGAGCAAGTCTGGAAGCCAACAATCTAGACCCATGCTTTGAATGAATGATTCGGACGCCGATGGCACCATCTTCTCTTGAGGTGACGGGGGTAGAGAGGGAGAAGTGAACGAGATATGCATACCAATGGCCGAAGCCACGAGGAAGGGGATCTTCAATAGACTCATGCTGTATCGCTGAACCTGCGAGAAGCTACTTTAAATACCTGCGCGATAAAACTCCCACATTCCTGCTACATTTAGTGGGTTTTGTACCACGACCGTTTTGACCACCAGTCAGCTGATATGTGATTGAGAAATGGTGAATTTTGACATCCATAGTGCAACATTATGCTCAATTTAGTTGGTTCGAGTTCACTTGAGATCCGAGCACCGTTAAAGCGTCGCCAAACAAAGTTTATATATATAAGGGTTGGGTCTGCTGATGACGGTCAGGAATGACGGGATTTAAACTGCTTGTAGATAATTTACTGCACCGAATATTGGCCCGTGCGTGGTGTAAGCTTTAAGTACGTCGTAGTCCGGTTTAGGACAACCTAGTTTGGGTGCTCGGACTGAATGAATTAAGTAGCCCTGCTAGTGGGTGACTTTCCATATGGTTACAGTCTTTCCGGCTCGGAGCCGTTGTGAATAACGCCCGAACTTTGTTTACTCGAGGTTTGAAATCATTCGAAGGAATCGAGAGAGGTCCGAATGATAACAGAGTACCATGAACTCATGTTGGTTGTGAAGCTGCAACCCAGCTGGGGGCACATCACCAAGGAATAGTAAGAGCATCTGGGTTTGTAATCTTCAGGCAAGGCCAGGCTGCGAGATTGCTAAATTGATGTGTTCGAGACAGTAACGAGTCGTAAAACTGAGCTCATTGTATGGTGCGACGTTAGAAAATGACAAGTTGTGCACAGACAGACCCGCACGCAGCCGGACGGAGACTGCCGAAAATTCCGCTACGCATTACATGAATTTCAACGGGCTCATTGCATCAAACTCATTCTACATGTTCTCTATTTCAATTTGTGTAAAAGACTTGGAAAATAACACGGTATCCAGCCCCAGTCAAGAGCATCTAATCCGAAATTTTTCCTTCTTTAAAACTACAGTACATTCGACACAGAAACTCAAATCATACGACAACCCAACCACATTACATAAGCAGTCCCTGCACTGCGGGTCATTCCAAACCGGACTAGCTGATTCTCATTTCTCCCCGATTTGGCTCTCGTCCTCATCCGAGTAAGACATCTTTTTTCTTCCAGGAGCCGGAACGTCCGGCCAGGTTAGTGGCCTTTCGTTTGTTTTTAACGTCACTACAGTAGTTTTCGAAGTCGGACGCTGTGATGGAGGCGTTGGAACGACTCGGAGAGACTGGGCGTCAAGATCATAATGAGAAGGACGTGAACGTTTGAACCTTGACTCAAAAAGTTCAGGCGCACATTTGCCTAGACGTTTCGCGCCTACAGAATCCTCCCTACTTCGTAGAGTCGGGGATTTGAGCTCTCGAATTTTCATGTACGTGTGCAATTAAACATGAGCATTGAGAAAACTACTTCGATTGACAGAGCGATATAGTGGCCTTTGCTCAGTTCATTGCGGTCTCAGTAGTCCTGGTATAACTTGACTTCGGGGCGACAAATCGAGTGGAGGAGAACCGGGCGGCTTTGCAGAGCTGTCCCCCAGGCCTTTATCATCATTTAACTTGTCTCGAAAACCTTGCCAGCAGACTTCATACGAGATTCAAGCAGCAGGGCATATTGTCCAACCTTGATGAGGTATCTGCAAGTCTTGGTCAACTTACCTCTTTGCACAACGCTATTGTGGTGATCCCGCAGAAGATATTCGGCTCAGGTAATGTGCGAGATATCAGTACTGCTCACAATGATGCCAGACTGATTCCTGGTAACTGGAGCTGTAAATTCTGGAAGGCAACTGTTGGCGAGTCTTTCGACGTTCAGTTGCGCACCCTTTCTATTGAAAATGTATCCAGGCACATCGGCACCGCACTATGTGAAACGTAGTCTGCCTAGAAACTCACGAGATATCGCGCCAATGGGCCCGTTATTCGGGAACAACTCATATCGAACTTGGTCTAGATAAGAGCGATGTATCAGTTCGACCTCTTCGACACTACCCCTTCCTGTTCAATGGGCTCTCTAAAAATGACGTCGTGGAAACCTTATTGTCCTGAAAATAAGGGCCCACGGATTATTCTTGTATTCGGTTATCACGATCGATATTTGTCAGAGCAGACTTAACCCAGTCCAAGTACGTGAAGATCATGAGGATGTGTTATTGTGCGTGAAGTCTTGTTGCTCGGCTCTCCATTCCACACCGCGATGCATAAATCGTCCTTCGTTGTTGTGAATTTGCAGTCTTTCATTATAATACTAAACATCGTGTGTCAGCACCTATGGTCTGGTGCGTCAACCATGAAACATATGGCTTAAGCATACCGTATCCTTGTCCCTCATAGCAGCAGAAGGTACTTAAATGACGTGTCACAAGGCGTGACAGAGTCCGTCTCACAAAGACCTTTGGCGGGTCCTCTTCAAGTTACCGAGTAACAAAGACTCAAAGACCACCTTCGGTGTTGATTGGTGCCACTCCGTTCGGCTATAAATCCAAGTATGATCAAAGGTTCTTGACTATCTGCCACGACCACCAAGCTCAGCTGTATTACCATCTCGTGTTCCTTCGCCGCAGAATTCTGTCGTTCCCTTATTTTAATACCTCCCAGTTGTATCTGCACACCCTCGGCATCACGAATCGTTTCCTCTATTTTCTAACTCTGCGAAAGCCACAATCAGCTTTCCTTGAATCCACAAGCCACCTAATCGAGTCATATCGCACGTCAACCCTTCAAGTGAATAATGAATAGCATCAATTTCTCGTCTGGTTTCTTCCTGAATCTCATTGCTGGGCCGGATCCCTCCTTCGCGCCTTTTGCCCCAGTAAAACCCGTCTCTCGACCGCGGACAAAATGCTGTGACATCTCGATCAACTCGATGCACAAACAGTCTACCCAGTTACGCGAATATCACTTTCATGCATTCTTCAACTGTTCTTGGATGTCACGTCCTTGCTCTCGTGTTATCAAGTTTAACCCGGACGCACCTATAGAGTGTCAAAAGGCCACGCCACCTGCACCCGCGCCTCCTCGTGTTAGCGCCAAAGTGCCCGCTGTGCATGAGATATATGATGCTGCTGCGAAATCAGTACGGTCCCGACATTCACACAAACCTTGGAAAAATATCGCCATAACCGAATACGATGACGCGGAGTTCGAGGAACTGCAAGCACAGTTGGTATTTACCTGGCCGCCCGACTTGGCAGCCTACCGAAGAGAGGTCGAGGAGAGGGGCTCGGGTGAGGCAGCAGAGTATGCTGATGAAAATATTGTCCCTGGGGCCATCTATGGCGCTTCGCCGATAGAGTCGGGAAGCACAGACAGTTCTATGATCTTGACGCCGACTCAAGAAGACTATGATACTCAAACAGCCTGCACACCGCCGGCTATTCTGCACGAGGGGCTCGTAGAGCCTGAAGTTAAGGCCAGCATTCTCGAGAAGGCAGTGGGGCTTCAGCGATTGAGACGCAAAGCACCGCCTCCACTCAGTCTTGATATCAAGAAAAAACAGCATTTCATCGACGAGATTGGATGCACCCTGCTGATCGGCGATGGTGAGCGTACTGCACGGGAGATACTGGTAAGTTTTTCATACCGTTGTGTCGAGTTCGATTCTAAGGCATGAGTAGATGCTAAGCCCGCTGACGGCAGCGATGAATATCACTAGCAAGTTATCTGCAGGGCTCCTCTTCAATATTCATACCTTTTCCGATGGACTATCATTCTGATAACCTAATATTTGTCTATCACTGTAGCATTACCCAAGTTGTTAGCCGGAGGTTCACTGTATCTGCATCTTCCTTGTCCTGTAGCGATATTATTGTATTTTTGGTGCTCCTCTTTCGCCAAATATTGTGAGACCATCACATGAATCGCTAATTAAATCACTCACCGGCAGACCGTGAGATGTAAGTCGTTGTTAAAACCACGACGGACATAATTTACCCACTCGAAGCTGGACACCGTGGATGGAATTGCAGTTGAAAATACCTTGGCATATTCTTGGACTGATTGCCTGAGGTTATAACCACCTTAACTTGGAGAAATGACTTCCCACTGAACCTAAGAATTCAGCAGATACCGTATAGGTGAGTTGCCATGTTGCTGTCTTTGCTAAATTTTGACGACCTGCGATCTCCTGCAATTCAGTGAGTGAAATAACCGGGTTAAAGGAGATATGAGGTGAAGAATCAAACGTTCATCTAAATGGGTTCCATGTAAGCTCACACTCCAATGAACTGCACACTCACCTCGGAAGCACCTTCACTTCGAACTTAGCCGGTGACATGGAAAACACTGAACACGCAGACTTGAGTGCGGAAATTCTGAGGCTCATCTCCTTGAGAAATCTACCACGGAACTTCGACAAGAGAAGTGTCAATGTAAAAGTAGAAGTAGAAGCTACCCGGTGCACTCGTTTTGTAGACACCTGCGATGCTGATTCAAGAGGATAATCATCTCAGGAGTAGGGGATCCTCTCACTTCCTGCTTCCCGAATCCCTGGCCTAAGTCCGACATCCAAACCAAGATGCTGCATGCGATTGGGTAATCATTGTGAACAATTTGCTTTGCCAGTGAGATTATCGTTCCAAAGACAAACTCGCACAAACTTTAGACTGCTTGGAGAATCTCCTTCAGTGACTCAGCCTGTCCAAGGCCTCCTATGATAAGGTTGTATGAATCAGTACTTGAACAGATGGGCCGTGCGCATAAAAGGCTCAATTAGACAATAGAAATTCGACGACGTGTGCCACATTCAGATTTGAACAGTCACGGCAGAAGTCGGGACTCGGAAAAGGCATTGTTTGTTCCCGACAAATACAGCTTTGAGTCGCAAGGTGATTCACCACATGCATCATGCATGCATGTCATTGCATGAGTACTTGCGGTATATAAAGCCGCCGCCGATGCACCATGCATCGATATTCCAATCCTATCCCTCTCCCACAATACATAGCGCTATCACGTTATCCTTGTGCCCCGTCTTTGCATTCCAGAGCAATGCAAAGACCTGCTTCGCAAGGTAAATCGTGATTTCCTGCTC